GATTTTTATACAAAGTATTGGTCGAGCCCAAGTGCAAGGCTCGTAACAGCCAGAATGGAAGGAAGCGGTGAAAAATAGCATTGAGTGGATGGTGAGATAAATGGTGTGGGTAGATGAATGGGCGGGACTCAGTAACTGGAGGAGAAAAGAGGGGAACGCAGATAATGATGATGATGTCGAATGTGGTTCTTCTGTGACGGCGGGCAGATTGTCGAGGCTTCCTGTTTTGGTGACGTCTGGTAGAGAAGCCCGTTAGGCTAGAAGCTTGCTTTCGTTGCTTCTCTGGATAGTACGCTATATTTATCTGTACTCAGGGGACGAAGTGAGTAGCTCTGTGCGTATCGGTAATCTGCCAGAATTGTTGTCCTAAATGAAATAATTGTATTGAAATATTATTTAAAATTCTTAAGAATAGGAGTAAACATGGGTTCACTTAGCTCCATGGGCTCAGATGAGTTCAGTTTGAGTTATGATTTGTTTTTGTTTTTAGTAAAATCGCAGTAAAGTAAAAGCAGTACCCCGCGGTTAACGGTTAATGAAAGTAGCAGTTTACAAGTGTATAAAGCCCGAATGTGGAACTGCTTAAAGATTTAAGTGTAGTATGTGTAACAGAACCCATCATACATTTAAAGATTTTTTTTTTTAAAATCATGAAATGCGCTGCAAATCGAATTGGCTCGGATAGTGAGATATTTGAGTTGTACTCGTGCAACAACTGAAAAGTAGACACAACACATACATCTACTCCGAGAGACTATGACCATATGTTAAAAGTCTTCTTCTTTTTTAAAACTCCTTTTTCATAACTTATATTAAGAGGACAGCAACCTTGATTAAAGCTACAGACTGCAGTCTAAAAATCCTGGCATTGCGTGTTTTATTATGAGATTGAGGTTGGAACAAGCCATACAGCTTCTCTGTTAGCAACATACAGTTTTCATTTTTGGAGTATGTGCTCAGAATTTTCAGGGGCCAAGTTGTAGGAATACATCTCCATGTTTTTTCCATTAAAAATATGAACATATGTCGGCAAAGTCTGTTGAGCCATTTCCCAGATCTGAATATCTTCTTCTTCTTCATCGCATTCACCGTCTGGCTCTAAACTCCAGCAGAAAGTTCTGGTTGTTTGTCCACCTCTAGACTTTAGTTTTCCAGAACCTGAGTGTTGCGCGCACATCTGTTTTACAAAAATTACTTATTTGTATGCAGGTTGTTGGTTCCTTGCTTCTCAGGCAGATGCACTCTGATTTCAGAGGAAGCTCCCAGTTAGTCAGCTCTTACGACATGCTTATTCGGGAGGCAGTGGGTCTTCTTGTTTCCCCCAAAATGGAGCCCCGAAACCCACACTGGGTGATATAAATATAATATACAATGTCTCTCTCTCTCTAGAGTTTTTGTAACACCAGATATTATCTTTATTAATCATCATTACATATTATTATCTCTGTTGTCAGTTTGCAGTAAAATCATTACATTTGGTTTTAACCAATTGTGATAAATTAATTAAAGATAATGTAAAAGTTGCATTATCATAGTGAACCTGTTGAAACTAATTCTTCTTCTTCTCATCTTTGCTGTGTGAAATTGGTAGCCAAATCTTCACAGATGTTTCATGATATCAAGCTCACAGCTTATTCTCTCTTGCTCTGCCTCTTGTCCCTTCTAACTTTCCCATTGTTTTCCTCTTTTTATGGTGTGATAAAAGAATTTAGATTGCCTTTTCTGATATAGGTAATCAGTTCTCTTTATGGCTTAATTTGTTACAACAGTTCATCACAACATCTTAAAAAGATATCCATGAATGTCCATGACATTCTTATCATTTGTTTATGAAATAACAGTCTTCTCAGCTTCCACATAATTTTTCACTTTTCAGATGACTGTCTCTGATTTATATACATACATTGAGTTCTCTGTGAAAAAAAAAAAAAGTAAAGATCCCTTTTCACGCCTTTCGGCGCATCATGCATATGGGCAGAGTGTCCCATATTTTTACAGACCATCAGCACGCTGTGGGTAATGTGGTCAGCATTACGCCGGCTGTCTTTACTTTCCCAGGACAGCCCATCCTGGTACCCATTTTAGGCTGGGTCGACCTGCGACGTGGCTGTTATTAACTTTCTCACCTCTCTCCATGAGTTCCGGGGCTCCATTGCCAAGAACATAGATTACACTCACTGCCCCCAACGAGCATGCCATAGGAAGCAACTAATTAGGGGTATTTTCCTTCAAGTCAGAGTGCATCTGCCTGAGATGCAAGGAACTAATAGACTATACAAATAAGTTCGATCTGTAAAAAGGATATGCATGTAGAACTCTGTGAGTCCTGGACAATCTGTAGGCAGACGAAACAATTTATAGAGGCCTCTGAGATGTGGTTTTACAGAATAATGCTTAGAATACCTTGGACAGCCAAAAAGAGCAACCAGGAGGTTTTGAAAGAGGCGGGAGCCCGAAGACAACTTATCACAGATATCAGAAGGAGACAGTATTCATTTTTCGGCCGTGTTATGAGAATAGGGAAAATCGAACATGTTGTGACAACTGGAAAGATCTGTTTAAGGAGAGATAGAGGAAGACAACGAGAGAAGATGCTTGAAAGTTTTGTTGTATGGCATAAAGGTGTGTCGGCACAAGAACTGATACATGCTGCAGGAGATCGCAGATTGTGGAGAGGCATGATCGCCCACGCCAGTCGGCAAGGCACCTGATGATAATGATGATGTAGAACTCAGGTTCTGAATCACCTAAAGTTCAGGAGTGAACGAATAACCAGAAATTTCTTGCTTTTATGTAGTCTTTAAAGCATAAATATAAATCTCTATTCATTTCAGAATTATTTTTTCTGTTAATATACTCAAGATAAAGTTGGCATTTGTGCTCTTAATTTGGGAAGAAAAAAACTTCATTTCCAGTTTCTGGCTTCATTTTTTTTTTTTTTTTTTCTTATAATTTTTCAGCATTTTTGTCACCTGACTCATTAAAAGCTAATTGTATAATGTTCTCCACAATCCATTTGCACAATTAAAAAAAAATAAATAAACATTTGGGTGCTGGTAATAAAATACATTTTAAAAAGGTCTTCGCGAATTTGTCCAGTGGTGTAGTTGTCATTCAGCAGTTTTTACACTTCTATACCTAACTCATCAATGGAGAACTAATTAATATTCACATATTACAATATTTGTTTTTCAAGTCCTAAATAAACAATAATTTATTATTTGTAGAACATGTTTGAATGTATTATATAGTTTTTTTTTAAATATACATTTTCTTCACTAAATTGTATCCCGTCCTTCTAACACAGGACTACTGCAAGCTTTAACAGACAGGAGTTGTTATTATGTATGCCCTAATTTTGTACTGGAACCCACAGGGGCTCATAAGAATAAAGGAAGGCCAAAAAACACATGGAAAAGGGAGCTGAAGAAAAAAGTTAGATGGGGAAAGCTGCTTGCGATAGCAAAAGATAGAATGACTTGGCGTGAGTTGGTTGAGAGCTTATGCTCCATTGGGGGCTAGAAAGGTCGAAGAAGAAGAAAAAAATTATAACTATGTTAACGGTTAAATATGGTATGTAGGATTTTTGGCTAGAATACAGTATGAAATTTTTGGGTTGTTTATTAATAGTTTTACCGCAAATGACGTCACACGACATTCCAAGCTGGTAAGACTGGATTTCCTGGCTTTCTGATGCTTTTAATGACCCCAAAACATCTAGAACTGGCCATAACCACAACCCACCTATGTCTCACGAGAGAGTGCAGCCGAGATCCTACGACTGCATGCAGCCTAGGTCCCACGACTGCATGCAGCCTATCTACCACCCCCTGACATATTAGACTGTCCCGTGACCTCTGGATTTCCCCTGTTTGGGGTAGGATATTATTAAAGCACCAATTTTTGTAGTCTCAGAGTGATCAAAACTTGCGGTAGCAGCCCAGAGGTGCACATAATCAGACCATTTCAGACGAAAAGGTTTAATTATGTGAATGAGTTGCACATTTTTTGGTGTAGTAAGTTGATAAGTAAAAAGTAAAGTAAAGGACCCTTTTCCACGCCTTTAGGCATATAGGGCTAGACCTATATTTCATAGACCAATCAGCACAAGATGGGTGATGTGGTCAGTATCACGCCAGCCGCCTTTACATCCAGGGACTGCACCTGGAACCCACTCAAGGCTGGGTCGACCTGGAAGCCAAGGTCATGTTTGAAAAAAGTCCAGCTCAGCCAGGGAGCGAACCCACTACCTTCTGATCCATGGCGAGCATATTAGTTTAATAACAGTTGAATCTTCTAATCCTCAGGATCCTGGTATAGTACTGGAATAGTAGCAAGATGAAAAGAAAAATAGGAGGGGATGATCCTCCATCTCCCAAAATTCCTCGGCTTCAGCAGTCTGGAGAAGAAGCTTCAACTAGCAGCGGAGGATTATCTTTTGTTTCATCTGCATGGTTAAGCTCTACAGGTGACTCTTCGCAAGGGCTGGAGTCAGGTGTTTCTAGTGCTAGTACATCTCCAGTATTGTCCAGCAATTCAGCAGAGTCATCTCAGGCAGATGATCCAGTCAGCGAGTCATCATCATCATCCCCCGGGGTAGGAGTGCTTGATGGCCCAGAGCTTTCAGGAGCTGCTCGAACAACAGCCATTACAGATTTGCCCATGGTGATATCCAGCAAGTTTGTGTCCTTAGTGGGTAGGAATTCACTAGTTGCACCAAGTGTGAGGCACCTTTCTGAAGGTCCACATTTGGATGTCAGTCCGATCGCAGGTACAGGTGGAGATTTGTCATGTGGTCCTTTAAATCTAAATGATTTTGAAATGATTGGATCAAGTCCCTCATTTGAACGCCTAATGCCAGTGCCGGAAAGTGTCACCTGATGCTGCTGTGAGCACAGAAGATGTTGAGCAATCTGCTGTGGATAATTCTAGAAATGACCCATTAAGGTGCAGCCTGTCTCATACAACTCAAGAACCTACAGCATCAACATGCAGAGGAAATGTTTGCATCATGTGACAGTGTGCATGGCAAACAAGTTCATAATGGTAATTCCACCGATAGATCTGATCAGACTAGACTAAGCCCTGTCTTCAGGTTGGGACAGTCTCGTCTGGGAAAACATGCTTTATCTACTTCAAAATTAGCCACACCAGAGTTTGGTCAGACTTTGCCGAATGCCCATACATCCATAACTGTGTCTCCTGTTCCAACATACTCCACACCTATAAACAGTATCCCCAGACCAAACAGCCAAGCTAGTATCAGAAGTCCTGTTCCTCACCATTCAGTTTATGAGTCCAGCACTGGAAACCTTTTTAGAAGCATAGCTTCACCAGCACAGACACCATCGACATCTGCATCACCAGCTTCTTTACGAATGACCATATCCAGACCTGATGGAGTTTGCCTCATGCCAAGGAGGAAGTCGCACTCTGAGTCAACAGTATCAAGGTAATATTAGAATGTAATGTCACAACAGTAAGGACACAACCTTTTCTTCTACCTCCTACCCTGAGGAAAGTCTCCCGATTAACAAACATAACATTTCATTTACCGATCAGATCTTTCTTATTATTATGCTAGTGTATATGAAGCTTTATTTATAGTTTTCTTTTCAATATTATAACCAAAATATATTTCACTGCAGGCTACACCTGGCTGCTGTAGCTGTTACGGGTACCCTAATTATAACTTCTTGAGGTTGAATGGGGTACCTGGAATCTGCCTTGTTGGTCGGCCGTCCCGATTGTGATTTTTAAGGATTGTGAGTGTTGTCCATCAGGATGATGATGACCACTCTTTTTCATCAAGTATGAGTACGAAGACTGATGAGGCCGATGCGGGGCTGAAAAGTTCTTGTACAGTAAGGACAGGTACTGAGGGTTGTGCCAGGGAGGGGATCTCCTGCAGTCGTCTTTCTGTCCATCCTTTTCTTAATCAGTCTTGCTGTTCTGTTTGCTTTACATGTAGCCGCGCCCTTGTGTAGAGTTGCACGCCATGCATTTCGGTCTTGAGAGGCAGCCTCCCTTAGTTAGGATTGTATGGTGATTATCATAACAAAACATAACTTCCAAGAACATCTTGTACCTAGTTTAGACTGGGTCCACTGGAGCCTAGATCACTTATACAAATCTTTTGCAGTGACAATTTGTAGCTACTACCTTTGCTTTAGCAGGCGAGCATAATTAAGTAAACTAGCTACTTTCTCTTCAGCATTCTGTTTTGGGGTTCATTTCTGCAGATATCACCTGTATCCATTCATCTCTTTGATAAGTCTTCTGTTTCTAATTTTTGACTCCAAGCTTTTATAGGTCTGCCTGTATATCTCCCCACCATCTTTTTGGTCTGTCTCATGGTCCACTCCCATTCAGCTCTGTTGTATATCACATGTTTTGTCTCTAGAACTTCTTCTTCATGCTATGTGGCATTGGTAGTCATGTCTTTCTACAACCATCTGTCTCGTGTACTTTCAGTCAACTTTGACACAGATGATCCTCCACGCCATGATGCCAGACTGTCCGGCATCTGTTCTCTCGGTCTCCCTCTGCCTCCCCTCCCCTCCAACTGTCATTATGAACTCCAGTTTTCCCCTTATCAGATGACCAAAGAATGTAGATTGTCTCTTTTTGTTGTGGGCAATCAGTTATCTTCAAGAGTTAGTTTCTTTCAAGACATCTTTCACTCTTTTTATCTGTCTAGGTCATTCTCATTATTCGTCCATAAAACCACATCTCCGCAGCTTCCAAATAATTTTTCACTAATCTGCTGTCCATGGTTAACTTCTGTATATATAGCTTTTAAGAATTCTCTTTCTCGTTTCAATTGTCAAAGAAAGATTGCAAAATATTAACTTCATTTTGTAAAGTGCTACCTTTGCTTGAGGTATTCTACATTTGACTTCTTTAAATACATCTTCCATCTGATATTTTGGAACAGGTAGAAACAGACTCAGTAAACAAGGTGAGACTTATCATCTAGCATCTAGACTTATTACCTAGTATGTTTATCCAAATGTAAATTGGTCACCTTTAATCATATGTATTCCAGATATGTTGGAATAGAAGGTTCATCTGCAAGAAGCCGGGGGCTAGCAGCCTTTTCTGATCTCAGTTCAGGATATCAGCCATTAAGCAACCAATCTCCACCATCTTCACATCCCTCATCTTCTACCTCAGCGTCAGCAAACACTTTAACATCATCATTAACAAGCAGTTCTGCATTATCAGCTGCGCCAGAAAGGGCTGTCAACTCGTCCGTCTCCAGGCATCTAGAAATGTTACCCGGTTCTGTATCTGAAACATCTTCAAGGCAACCGCGTTCACAGTTGAATAGTGCAATGGTGTCCCGCATGAGGCAGATGTATAATTCTTGGACAGCTGCAGTTGCTGCTTCTGGTGATACTCACGATGTGGACTCACGCATATATCTCTTACCTCTAGATGCTCTCGGCCAAGGTTTGAATCTTTTTTTTTTTAAAGTTATATATATATATATTTTAGTTGCATATCCTTTACAGGATGTTGTAAACCAGTCCCGACATTTGTTGGCTGTTTAATATAGACAAAGTATTCTAGTTTTAGAGAAATTTTGTTTGTCTATGAGCCAGTTCTTTTTGATGTTGAGATCCTGAAGACTGCTTGTCTTCATATTCTTTACAGATTGGCAAATGGTCCCTAACTCACATCTGTCTTTATGTTTTCACAGGAGAGATGCATGCCCACCACATCTGTACTTTAGTTACTTTGCTGATGTTTTGTCATTGGCTTTTTTAACTCTTTCACAGCAAAAGGAGTTAACTTTTCTGACATGTAAATACTAAAAAAAAAAAAAAAAAAAAAAAAAAAAATATAAGCCTAGAAGCCGACTAAAATTCCCAGAATAAAATTCTTTATATATATATATATATATATATATATATATAAAAAAATCTTACACAGGTCACTAATAACTTTTTTACAATGTTTTTTTATCTGCATTTTAAAATTCTCCTCCCCCAATATATAAAGAATTATAAAAGAGGTAACCAGTGAACACAAACAGAGCACAGCATTGCATGGAATACATTCCGGGAAATAGGGGGGGGGGGGGGGGGGGAGACAGCACCTAAAATCATTATGTATCTGGTGACTCATGCCTTGACCATGTGACCTCTATCACTGAGGCTTTTCCACCCCCCCCCCCCCCCTCCCCCCCCCCCTTTCCCATGCTGTTTTTTGTTACAATATTTTCCTTTACTGGTCTAATAAACTTTGTGCAGGTGCAAATGGAACCAGTGGAGTTCGACTACACTTTTCCAGAATAAGTTACTGCAGACAGGCCGATGTAATTGCATTTATGGGTCTGTGTTATATAAGAAGTGATTAGATTTAGTCTTCTGTGGGCATCAGGGTTAAATTATTATAAATCAACTCGAATGTTCCTTGAGACCCAGAGAAATAGTGCTGTTTAACCTCCTCAATGCTGTGAAGTTTCCTTCTGGTTTCCATTGAATGGTCTCCATTATTTTTTAAAAATAAGTGAATAAATAAACAACAGATTTTTTTCTTCTTCTTTTTCTTCTTCTGCTTCTTCTTCTGCTTCTTCTTCTTCTTATTCTTCTTCTTCTTCTTCTGCTTCTTCTTCTTCTTCTTTTTCTTCTTCTTCTTCTTCTTCTTCTTCTTCTTCTTCTTCTTCTTCTTCTTCTTCTTCTGCTTCTTCTTCTTCTTCTCTTCTTCTTCTTCTTCTTCTTCTGTCTTCTTCTTCTTCTTAAATTCTTGTTCTTATTTTCTTCTGAGTTGATTCTTTCTTCTTCTTTTTTCTTCTTCTTCTTCTTCTTCTTCTTCTTTCTTCTTCTTCTTCTTCTTTCTTCTTCTTCTTCTTCTTCTTCTTCTTCTTCTTCTTCTTCTTCTTCTTTCTTCTTCTTCTGCTTCTTTCTTCTTCTTCTTCTTCTTCTTCTTCCTTCATTCTTCTTCTTCTTCTTCTTCTTCTTCTTCTTCTTCTTCTTCTTCTTCTTCTTCTTCTTCTTCTCTTCTTCTGCTTCTGCTTCTCTTCTTCTTCTTCTTCTTCTTCTTCCTCTTCTTCTTCTTCTGCTTCTTCTTCTGCTTCTTACCTTCTGCTTCTTCTTCTTTTTCTTCTTCTTCTTTCTTCTTCTTCTTCTTCTTCTTCTTCTTCTTCTTCTTCTTCTTCTTCTTCTTCTTCTTCTTCTTCTTCTTCTTCTGCTTCTTCTTCTTCTCTTCTTCTGCTTCTTCTTCTTCTTCTTCTTCTTATTCTTCTTTCTTCTCTTCTTCTTCTTCTTCTTCTTCTTCTTCTTCTTCTTCTTCTCTTCTTCTTCTTCTTCTTTTCTTCTTCTTTCTTCTTCTTCTTCTTCTTCTTCTTCTTCTTCTTCTTCTACTTCTTCTTCTTCTTCTTCTTCTTCTTCTTCATCATCTTCAGCATTCTGAACCCTTGCAGTTCATTGATGCAGATATCACCCGCCTCCATTCATACCTGGGATTGACTTTCTATTTCCAGTTGGTGACAACAGATGTTTGCAAGTCTGTCTGTATTTGTTCTCTCCACCCTCTTCATGGTCTGCCTGATGGCCTGCTGCCGTTCACCTCTTTTGTGTACACAGTTTTTATCTCTTTGTTCTCTGCCTTTCTCTCGGTGTTCCCCAGCCATTACAGTTGACTAAATGATGATCATTGTTTGTAATAAACCCTACAGGTGGCCTGACTGGCAGGAGAGCACTACCACCAAGAGGTATACTGCAGGGGGCCGGTCTGCCAGCTTGGTGGCATAGCTCTTTAATAGAACAGCCAGACACGTCTCCAGACACTCCAAAATCATTTCCTTCTGTTGCAGATGAACAATTTTATGAAGAAATGGAACCGTCTTCACAAGTCAAGAACTACGCTTCATTAATAAAGAAAGCTGGTCCGTATATTTTAGGTGAGAGTTCAAATGTCCTGCTGAAATTTGTTAAGTTTTCAATGTAACCTTTTGATGACAAGAAAGTTGTTTGTCCAGCTTTGGGCTGACATGTTGCATTTAGACAGGACCCAGTGTGTCTGTATGACAGCTGCTGTTGTTGTTGTTGTTCAGCCATCACCAGTGATGGAGACAACTTTTTATCCAAAGTAGTGATGATGATAATTGGATGAAAGTGACTTGCACAAGGACTTGGATTTAAGTGAGGAAGAGTTGCACAGTTCGTCAACCTCACTCTCTCGCCTGTATCCAGCTTTATCTGGTGTCAGAACAATGTCCAGACGATTGAAAGTGTACCTAGGTGCAGTGGATGACCAAGGCTTCTTAAGTGCCCTGCCTTGGTCGAATCTGTCCACAGAGCCAGCTGGTAATCACCTTTTTGTGTGTCGAACCATAAGAGGTTTTGTCTGTACAGTGACAACTATGGTATTGGCTGCAGAAGTACAGTGTGAAGACATGGCTATGATTATACAGTAGACTCTTCAATATGTGGCCTAATGTGGCTGAAGGTTAGGCTGGATTTAAAAAAAAAAAGCCGGATATGTCAGAGTTGTGTAAATACTCAGTTTCTACCCCTCCCATAAACATTTCATGCAAAACTAAGATTCATTTGCTCAGAGCACTTGCTATTAGTCCATTTACATATAGCTACGAAACGTGGGTCTCGAAAGGAAGATACACACATTGGATATGCCATGTTTCAGAAACATTCTTGGCATATTGTACAGAGACCACATTAGAAACGAAGAGGTTTGCAGTGTAATTATACAGCACACTGGCAACTATGAACCTCTTTTAACCACAGCAAAAAGGCGAATGCCTAAACTGGTATTTACTTACTTGACTTTGATGGTGTATTTGACTTTGTGTTTTTAATTTCTGACAGTAACAGTTTTTTAATGTGCAGATAAGTCATTGCTTTCTTGCCCTCTCAGAGATGGTTAGTTATCCTGTTCACTTCTCCAGCATCTGCATGATTTTGAAACAAGATCAGCTGCCCTTTAACATAATTAAATGCTTCTGTGTAAATTTTAAATGAGACTATTTCACCATCATCGTGTAGCAGGTCCTTTGCAGAACAATGCTCTTATCATGGTCTGCCTGAAAGAAACTGAGTCTTTGCCAGCTCTCCTGCCCCATGTACTCATATTCAAGTAGTCACATATGCCCTGTGCTATCTTCATGTTGGTCGGCCCCTGCCCCTCCTTCCTGGTACCATGCCTTCTGCTATTATTTTTTTTCCCAATCCTCCATGATGTTTGATATGGCCAAAAAATCAAGTAAATTAGACCATTTGCGGTACTTAAATTTTTCCTGTGGACTTGGACTTCCAGTATTCTCCCTGGTCTCTGGGTAGTGAAATCGGACGCCCGTGTGCATTGTTGCACATGTAAAAAATCCCCTGGCAGTTGGAAATCGAAAATAGAAGCCTAACGGCGCTGCCCGGGCAAAATTTGGAGTGTAAAATCTACCCAAAGTATTTCAGGATCCTCGCCGCTGCTACAGAGCCTGTGCACTCATACTTGAGTTAGAAGAAGAACGGAGCATTTATGGGTTACTACCTGTGTGCCATGATATTGTTCTGTTGTTGAAACTTTAAACTTCAAACTTCAATTTCTCCTGTGGGTTCAGGAGCGCCATTATGGGGTGTTACAAATAAATAGGCAATAGAGCTCACTGCTCTCCTAACAGGCAAATCGCAGCGTGGGCTAGTTAGAGGTGTTTAACTCCAAGTCAGAGCTCCGTCCCTATCTTCCGCAGCAAGCGAAGAGTTAAAATTCTGATGATACCAGTAACTGTCTGATTGTCTATCCGTCTTGCCTTTTCCCTGAGTGTCGAGTGTCGGCCAGATCCGCTGGTAACTTCTCACAGTGCCATTCTCCTCAGACTGTAATGATCTATCTGTGCCTCGGCATGGTTCACTCGCTTCTAAAAGGCTGTCACAAAATCCAGCTTGTCATATATCAGTTCACCACCAAATGGTGAAGAACCGGTCAGTCTATCTGCCTGCTCATTTCCCAACACACAGGCATACGTGGAGAAAATATCCAAAGGATGCTAACTACCCTGAATCTTTGAAGTGATGCTTGCCACTCTGCACAGAGCATGCCTGTCTCCACTTTTCTCAACATGCTCTGTGAGTGGATCTGCCTGAGACAAGGGTCCAGATGTCTGCATACAAATAAGTCAGATCTTTAAAATGGATGTACTCGCAAAACTCAAATACCTGATCAGAACTTGAGTCCTAGAAGTTACTACAATTTACTCATCATACTATTGAAAATCCTTGCCTGTGGCTTAGGGTGTGTGAAGACAATTCGTAACCTGACATACTAGTTCTTCTTCAGCTGCAGGCAGTTTGGCAGCAGACTGCTACGCTTATTTAAAAAATGGTACAAGCGTTGAATTGTTCATAAACAACTGTGATTAATCAACTTACAATATTATGTATGAATATTGTCATAATTTTTCTGTGTGTGGCCTGAAGTAGTTTTACAATAATTGTTGTTTCCTGTTTGCCTGCTTGTAGGTCCTAGAATTGGGTCCTCACCTGTACACAGCATAGTTCAGTGTTTGGCCAGACGTGAGAAAACTAGCAAGTTTTACATCTTAAAGGTATATGTGAGGTCTAATGTTCACATATAAACTGAAGCAAGAGTGTTCACATATAAACTGAAGCAAGTGTTCACATATAAACTAAAGCAAGTGTTCACATATAAACTGAAGCAAGTGTTCACATAAAAACTGAAGCAAGAGTGTTCACATATAAACTGAAGCAAGAGTTTTCACTTATAAACTGAAGTAATACTGTATAAACTGCAAGTTTATTAGCATTGTGCTCATGGGGATCTGCATTAACTTAGGGGCTAGATGCCCGTCTGCTCACCTGAAAGTCTAGGGTTCCAATCTACGTCATGGTAGATACTTTTCAAATGATACCTTAGCTCCCATGTCAGCATAGCCTAAAATGTGTATCAGGTAATGCACTGGGAACCACATTTGCATGAAAGCCAGGAAAATTGTCCATTACTTAACTGTTTGACTGTGTTCAGGTGTACATTGAAGAAACAGTCTTCAGGTACAACATGAATCACTATGTTCAGGTGTACATTGTGAAACATTGTACAAAAACTAGTCTTCAGGTACAAAAATCACTCTGTTTAGGTGTACATTGAAGAAAAGTCTTCACTATCACTAAGTTCAGGTGTACTTCGAAGAAACAGTCTTCAGGTACAAACTGAATCACTATGTTCAGGTGTACATTGAAGAAACAGTCTTCAGGTACAAACTGAATCACTATGTTCAGGTGTACATTGAAGAAACAGTTTTCAGGTACAAACTGAATCACTCTGTTTAGGTGTACATTGAAGAAACAGTCTTCAGGTACAAACTGAATCACTATGTTCAGGTGTACATTGAAGAAACAGTCTTCAGGTACAAACTGAATCACTATAAACTGAAGACAAATTGTTCAGATGTGAACTGAAGCTACATTGTTCAGTAATAAACTGAAGCTAGACAGTTCAGGTTATGAAGTGTGGAAGTAATGTTCAGATAATAAACTGAGGACAAATTGTTCAGATGAGAACTGAAGCTACATTGTTCAGTAATAAACTGAAGCTAGACAGTTCAGGTTATGAAGTGTGGAAGTAATGTTCAGATAATAAACTGAAGACAAATTGTTCAGATGTGAACTGAAGCTACATTGTTCAGTATTAAACTGAAGCTACACAGTTCAAGTTATGAAGTGTGTAAGTACTGTTCAGATAATAAACTGAAGAAACATTGTTCAGATATAAACGAGCTACCATGCTCAGGTTATAAACTGAACAACAACAACAAAACACTATACATGCATTGTTCAGACATAAACTGAAGCAACAGGGTTGAAACAGCTGAAACAGAAGAGAGTTTACAGAACCATATAGACCAAGTCAATACTAAAGTGTGAGAAATATAACATGAAGATTAAGTTAATTGTTCAGAAGAAGAAGAAGAAGAACAGGTTTGATGTATAAACTGAAGAAGTAATGTTCAGGTAAAAAAAACTGAAGAAATATTGTTCAGGTATAAACTAAGAAACAGTATTCCTCAAAAATAAACAGAAGCAACAGGGTGGACGCATAAACTTAAACAGCAGTGTTCATGTATAAACTGGAAAAAAAAAAATTTAGGTAAAAGCCGAAGCAATATTTTTCATGTATAAATTGAAACACAATTTTTTTTGTTTAAAAGAAGTTGTAACGACCCTGCTGATTTGCATTATTAATGCTGGGATGGCCTGAAGGATTGTCGTCTGTGGAAGACTTAGTTTTAACCTGGTTTCAAGCAGCAGTTAAACTCAGCATGTTTGTGAGTTTGTCTAGCAGTCAGTGCAAGAGCAAGACTTATGTTCTGATTATCAGCCATCATTGTGGGAAACTGAGGCATTTTTCTTGCAGCTCTGCAGCATACCAAATAGTAGTCCTTTGCACAGCTGAGACAGTGGTTGAAAAAGGAAAGGTACTACAGATAGCAGAAAGAAAAATTAATGAGAGTTGACTTCTGTTTATTTCAGTAATTATGTAGTGTGTTGCTGCTCTTCTGCTTTTGTTATTTTTTCTGTATTGTGATGCTACTGCTGCTGCTGCTGCCATTCCTCAAAGCCGGATGTTAACCAGACTTCTTCAGCAGTCCAAGCTCTTGAGGTTCATTGCTGCAGATATCACCCACTTCCATTCAACTCTTTGGTTGGCCCTTCTCTTTCCACTTGGGTGTCGGCCCCGTGCTTCAGCCCCCACCCTCGAGGACCAGGGTATCTCTCTGTTCTCTATCCTTTTGGCTGTCTGGCTTGGGAGGTCTTAACTCCAGTATAGCTCTCAGGGTCGTTGAGAAACACAGGCTCTCCCCACCGAGAGGGGAGCTTGTGTTTCTCAACAACCAGACTGGTGTTACCATTGTGAGAGTCCTAATTATAATCAAATAAATGAGGTATCTGGGATGTACCCTGTTGGTAAGTAACTTAGAATGAGACTTGAAGCCTCAGGGTGATCTGGCCTTCATGTAGCTACCTAGAAAGGGAAAAAAAACAGACAGATAGATCACCACCACCACTTGCCACATCAACCATTATCTCTAGATTTATTTGTATGTTTCAGATTCTAACACTACCCGACCCAGCAAAGGAAACAACAGATGATCGACAGGGCAAAATGCTGATGTTAACAGAGTTCTCTCTCTTGTCTCATTTGAAGGACATGAAAGGTGTTGTTCACTGCATCGATTTTTTTAAGGTCAGTGCTGAATGAGCTGTCTTTAGTCATTTATTTTTCAAAAGGGCACCATTGTACAACAGCTGAAATGCTGTTGGTGCCCAGCAGTGATTGACATTAAAAAATAAACTGTCTTTGCTGTCTGTATTTATGACTTTATAATATATATATATATATATATATATATATATATATATATATATATATATATATATATATATATATATATATATATATATATATATATATATTGGAAACAATTAGGGGTTTTGGAGCTGAAATGCTACAGAAAGATTCTCAGAATACCAAAATGAAGGAAGATTGGCTAATGAAAAGCATGTTGTCTCTGAAGCTGAAATATTTTGGACATATCAAGTGCCATGGCGGATTAGAAAAAAAAATAACAGCAGAAGGCATGGTACCAGGAAGGAGAGGTAGGGACCGACCAACATGAAGATGGGCACAGGATATAAGTAAATCCTTGAGTGTGAAAGTACATGAGGCGGGAGAGCTGGTGAGAGACTGAGTTTCTTTCAGGCGGACTGTGATAAGAGCGATGTTCTGCAAAGGATCTGCTACATGAGGACTATATAATATGTGTATATATGTGTGTGTGTGTATATATATACACACACATACATACACAACATAATAAATATTTATGAGTTAGGGTTAATCACATCTGTGTCCCAAGGTTAAAAAAGCTTGACAACCCCTCCCCCACCCCCCTCTCCCACCACCTTTTTTCTCTCTCTCATGGCCACTCCTGCGTATTTAGCCTCTTTAAAAGTATTGCACCCATGATATTTGATTATGGTTACTTACTGACTTTGACACATGTTATGACCACCCAAGGAACAGCTGGCCGAGCGGTTACAACATCGGATCCGCATGAGGGAGACGCGAGTTCTTCCCCCGGTGAGGTGAAGAACTTTTTCTGTCAGGGGTCAGAATTAGGCATCCTAACCTGCACAGTCCGTGGCGACAGCCCTAGCCAGGCGGCCCTCAATCCTCAGGCTCAAGGTCCCTCTGACAATACCGCCCTATCAAGTAGTAAAACAGACAGAAGTGACAGTGTGACCACCCACCTCCCTGACAGAAACAAAATCTGTTGCCTTGCTCAGGTTTTGAACCTAGGTCTCCAAAACGGAAGGTCAGCATTCTTAACATTCACACGGCCCCTCTTCTGGCAAGCTGTTGAACGTATATTAGGGTTTGAAAACTTCCCACAGCCATTAAATGCTCAGAGTTGTTTATACAGTTCTGAAAAAAGATATGCAGATAGCTTTGTAAGCAATAGCATCAATATATATTGAGATTGCCCTACTTTCTAGCTCAATTGGCTAAACCTGACTTCGCGGTGACCGGGTGACGAACTCCTTGTGGTCCAGGCTCACTCCCAGGGTAGGCAGAAAAGCCACATTTCCCCCAGATTAACAGTACCTATCATGGAATCAAGACCGAAGGGTTGCGATATCCATAGTACTGAGCCAAAGGGTTAACTTCTCATGGTTATGGATATTTTAAAAAAAAAATATTTGAGATCATTTGGCTGTTTGGATTCTTTCACAGGATAAAGCTTTCGACCCCAAACAGAAATGTGAGGTTACGCGACTGTGTCTGCTGGTTGACTGCTTCATGCCCCATGACTATGATCCTGAGTCTCAGTACCTGGTCAACCTTCAGCACCATGTGATCCACGAGAAGAAGCTGGGCGAGAAGGAAGCCTTGATCATCTTCTGGGACATTGCCAGGATTGTTGAGCAGTTGCATAAAGTGAGCTAGACTTATCCTTGTTTTTGTACACCCTCCCCCAACCTTTTTTAATAATATTAATTTATATCCTTTTTCTGATGTTGTTGACACCTCAAGGTTAAGTCAAGAGGATCGACTTCATGGCATTAGGTTTTATCCCATATGGCTTGGCCTCCCTTCGCAGAATGGCTAGCTGCCTGCCAAAAGCATTGCATAAAGTACGAACTCCGTAGCTGAGGTAATGATCCCCAGGGATCTCCGTAAATATTGCACTTGTAAACTGGACAACGGAGCCATGAAACAAACCCACGACCTCGAGAGCGTGAGGCAAACGGTTTAACCACTTCGCCAGGGAGACCCTCGTTGATACATAAAGCATTCACAAATGATCTCCCTTGCTGCCGACCTGCTGCTTTCATGCCTCTGGTATCCGGTGTCATTTTAAATTTCTTCCTTTCCCTTTCTGCATTTAAGGTTCTTCTCCAGGTTTCCTTAAGTTGTATGTGTCTGCTGTTTCCCTTTGCCATCTTCATTGGATGACTGTCCTTGCCTAAGTATCACAAGGCATTCTGCAAACATGGCCAAGCAGTCTCTGACTTCTTCCTTTGATAATATATATGTATGTTTGTTTGCACATTGGACGCTTATGTGTCTGTGTTTTGCACCTGCATGCTTGCATGGTTGTGTGTATGTCATATTAAAAGATGTGGTTGGTTTTGTTTCTTGTCCTGTAGGTTTCCCTGTGTGGGGTTCCGAGGCTCCAGTGTGGGACAAACAGGAATAGACCCACTGCCTCCCCAACAAGCATATCATATTAGTTGACTAACTGAGGGCTTCCTTCGAAGTCGGATTGGATCTGCCCAAATGGCAAGGAACAACCAGCTGCTCACAAATGTGTCATTAAAATGTATGTAAAAGGCAAAACTCAGGTCTTGGTACAAAGCCAAAGTCCAAATGGATGAACAGCCAGAAATTTCCGCATGAGCTTACAGCCGGTGAACAAAGAACACCACAATAAATGGACAGAAACTTGCTCCAACTTAGACCTTAGACAGAATGGAAATAAAGCATGGACTTTAGTTAAAAACCTCTCCGGAGAAAGTAGAAGGGTGAACCCAAAACCAGTGACAGATGGGAGTAAGACAATCACTGAAGACAAGAAGAAAGCAGAACATTTCAATCATTATTTTGCCTCAGTTAACAGAGCAGGTAAGCTGTCAGAACTCAATAGAAAACAGCTCTCTCAGTTGAAGAAACAAGAGAGAGCTCCAACAGCCAGCGACTCCCTTTTTGAAAATGAATTTAGCATGGATGAACTAGAGCAAGCCCTGAAGAAATTAAAACCTAGAAAATCTCCAGGCCCAGATAAGATCCACAACGAATGCTGCTACATCTTGGCCGGTCTGGGAGAGAAGTATTCTCAGGCATTAATAAAACTTGGAGGTCAAGCAAACTTCCAAGGGCATGGAGGAATGCATATATCGTCCCCATCCTTACAACCAAAAAGCCTCCAGATGACCCCAAAAAGCTACCGCCCGATATCCTTAACATCATGCTTGGGCAAAGTTGCAGAAAGAATGATAAACAGGCGCTTATATTGGTTTATGGTGTTCTATGCCATGAACAGCAGGCTTCAGAACCAACAGCTGCACAGAAGACCAGCTGTTTCAGACTGACACAAAGATACATGATCTCCAGAATATAGCACACAGTGGCAGTCTTTGTATCTCCAGCAGGCCTATGACAGAGTATGGAGAGGTCTCCTGATGAAGATGATGAGCATTACACGGCATTGTATAACTGGGTGTCTGATAAACAATCCAGACTAAGATGAGCAATCTCTTTAAAGAACAGGGCTTGCCACAAGGTCAATTGATACACTATTTAATCTTTATCAATGACCTGCCAGAACAAATCATGTTAAAAAGCCTTGTACGCTGATGACCTAGTCAGTCATGAAAATGTGGAAAGTAGACCTTAGAAGACTGCATGATTACTGCCAAAGTAGAAACTCAAATTAACTGTGCAAAGACGGTCTGCTCTTAACAAGTCAAGGTGTGTCAGAAGAGCATTCACACTTGACCCCGCAGCTCAGCCTCAGAAACAATTGAAACATTGTAAGCCATCGCGGTTACCTGAAGACTTGCAGGTACAACATGATAGTTGACCGCAGGTCCTGGCGGGTCACAATCACTAACTTCTGTTTGGGCAAACACCTGAGCTCGGAGAAGGACAAGCTGAAGGACCAGAGAGGCAGCCCTGCATATATCAGTCCTGATGTACTCAGTGGTCAGTTGAAGAACATTCTCCACAGTTGTTAGTTAGTTAGTTAGCCGAGGTTTCATCTTCACCACATTCGGGTTTTCCCCATACTTGCTCCGTTCCTGTGCCAGTGCAAATCAAATGAAACGACCCTTACTATTGCATATGGAAAAAAATGGTAAATAAAATAGTTCTGGAACAATCCAGAAATGTCTGCACACAGTAAATGCATGTTTCAGTTGCTCGAGGCGGCAAAGCCAACAAACGCCACTAAAAATGCAGGTTGTCGTTGATGGAAGTAGTCAGGCATACTCCACTCAATGGACACCTAAACAGAATACAGCCACAACACTATACACACTTTGAGTGCCCAAAACTCAGTGAGACAAGAAGAAGATTCCCTTACATGGAGGTACCTTTCAGAACAGCTCACATTGTAAATTGGGCCAGGGCGGCTCATGCGCCGCTATCGATGAACAACAAAACAAAGACACAACAGCTGTATGCAAATGAAAGGCATAATGAAGGGATCTGTATAGCACAAAAAACACAGCTCACAGGGCTGCACCAAGCACTAAACTCAGTAGCTCAGGCAGAGTAACAGTAGACTACCATCCTTATGTGGAAACTGCATTAGCAAAGCGCTGTTCTGAAGAAGGACAAGCTGAAGGGACCAGAGAAAATATCAGTCCTTCAGTGGTCAGTTGAAGCAAAGTTGTTAGTTAGTTAAGTCAGTTAGCCGAGGTTTCATCTTCACCACATTCGGGTTTGCCAAGCCGTTTTGCCCTCAACTTTGGCTGGAAGTTGTAAAAGCTGTAATCACATAAGTGCATTCCATTGTGGGTTCTGGGGCCCTGTTTGGAGGTCAAGGCTCTTGGTGGAGCGTAAAAAAAACACGGAAATGGTGACTTAGACTTTTAAGGCTATAATACTCTGAGGTATTTATGAATAGGGGCCAACATCCTTGAACTTCACTCATCATAACCCGGAAATTGATAGCGAAAAGAGAATATAATGTGATTCTCAGCTATTTATGTATAGGGGTTACTCATCATAACCCGGAAATCGATAGCGAAATGAGAATATAATCTGATTCTCAGCTATTTAGGGTTACTGTCATTTAAAATGTTAATTGTCATTTTGGGTAAATTGTGCCCGGGCAGTCACTTGTCGGCTCATATATCACAGTCTAGCTGTAAACCACAACACAATGTGCCAGCCACCTTTTAAATGTCAAAAACAGAAGAAGAAAATCTGCCTGTATTTACTACTGTGGGACAGAAAAGGTCTTAAGCCTGTGCATATATATGGCCACATGACAAATATTGTTGTCATGAACTGTAGAGGTTGAGATTTATTATTTCTGCACCATGGACAGAAAAAGCATCATCACCTTAACTTATTCGAACCTGGGTCTCCTAGAAGAACCTAGCATTCTAACCACTCAGCTAGCTGCTTCTCTTTTTTATTTCACCGCTGTAAAATGATTTTAACTCTGTCACACTGAGAAGGCAAAAATCTGGCCACTTCTGGTTGTGACACAGCCCTGTAAGTGCAGATATATGGCAATTTCTGCTGTGATCTGTTCTCGAAATGCATAGTTAAATGCCATTTTTTTTTTTTTTTTTCACCTTTATAGTGTTTAGAATGCCCAGATATAATTATAGTAAAAAAATATTTTTGCAGGAAGGAGGGTAGTGGGTCTTTATGACTCCAGTGGCCTTTTTAAAGTCAAAATTGATGTCAAATTTTCCGATAAGCCTCAGGGGTCTCGGCATGATATTGTTTTTTAAGCCCCGAGAAATGTATTCTGTTTAGTGCTCCACTCTGTATATTTTATATAGCTTTAAGGTGGCGCTATGATGTTTATGAGGGAAAGTTATATGATGTGTATAGTGTATAAGGAGATACTCCCTTCCTCACCTCAGGCGCCAGTAGGCTCTGCTCTGGTTTTACGGAACCTCATGCAAGACCCCTGCAACACATCCCTGTCATGCCCTAAGGATATGGCTCACCTTTTGAGATCTGAACTGAGCTGGCAGGGAATATCAGAGTTGGTGGCCTACAGGGATGTAGTGTCCAGTCTGGCTCTTATCAGCCCACCACCAATCCATGGGTGATAATGTCCCTCAGAACTCATTGGGAACATGGATGAAACCAGCTAGTTGAATGTGCTACTAAATGACAACAGGTCGGTTAGTTTGACAAAAGTCTCCCCATTTACTCACTCTTACACACTAGCTCACTTCCGATGGGTCGACCCTGAGCCACCTGACCTTGGCACAAGGTGACGGGGGTTTCCCCAATGCCATTGCTATAGTGTTTTATATTTCAGCATGCCAGCGCTTTTAAACACTCCAAAAACATTGACAAACTTGGGCTAACAAAACCCCCTAGAGGGAGCTGCAGCCTATATCACAGGCATTCTCTTTCTCAGAAGAAAAATATAATTGCAAGATATCCCAGTAAGCAAAGAACAGAGCAGCACACGCGTAACTCTGACGAAAGTAGACCAGTCGAAAAAAGTTATCAATGGAACGTGACCTACTTTCTCTTGGAAAAATAACATCGAACTAAATAACACGTCTGTCAAATGAGAGAAATACTGAACTGCTGAGACACAGCCCTAGACCAAGAGATTTGCTCACAGGTTCGACAAGCAGCATCTCTTGTGGGCGGTATCTCATGGCACAGTTCTGTCTCACCGTCGTCGTCACTGTGTTGAGGTTCAGCATAGCAGTCTGCCACTGTCAGTCAGCTCACTAGGCACGAATGCCCAGTAGAGACATGTACCATGATGTAAAAAACCAAATCCTAAATGTCAAGACCGGCCAAAGTCCTTCTGATTAGCAGAAAGGTTCAGATGTTTGTTACCCGTAGCCCAACTCGCCACAGTGTCGAGACCAAACTTGGGAAAGCCATGCCTGATGTATGTTTTTCCATCTAGTCGAGCCAGGTGTCCAGGTGAAAACAATAGTTAAAAGAGTCTAGCCGTGCTAAAGAGGAACAAACTTTGTATGCGGTTATTGAATTCACGGGCCTGCGGTATGCTCCCTAATGAATTTTGGAGAGACATAGCCCATTTGAATGGAAAGCTGGACATATGGATGTGAGGTTAAAGCAGTCATGTGTGGGACGTGGCAATTCCTTAGGTGAGTCCTGGACCCGAATCCTTGGGTGAGTCCAGGACCAGAATCATTGGGTGAGTCCAGGACCCGAATCATTGGGTGAGTCCAGGACCAGAATCATTGGGTGAGTCCAGGACCCGAATCATTGGGTGAGTCCAGGACCCGAATCATTGGGTGAGTCCAGGACCCGAATCATTGGGTGAGTCCAGGACCCGAATCTTGGGTGAGTCCAGGACCAGAATCCTTGGGTGAGTCCTGGACCAGAATCCTTGGGTGAGTTCTGGACCAGAATCCTTGGGTGAGTCCAGGACCAGAATCCTTGGGTGAGTCCAGAACCAGAATTCTTGGGTGAGTCCAGGACCAGAATTCTTGGGTGAGTCCAGGACCAGAATTCTTGGGTGAGTCCAGGACCAGAATTTTTGGGTGAGTCCAGAACCAGAATCCTTGGGTGAGTCCAGGACCAGAATTCTTGGGTGAGTCCAGGACCAGAATTCTTGGGTGAGTCCAGGACCAGAATCCTTGGGCGAGTCCAGAACCAGAATCCTTGAGTGAGTCCAGGACCAGAATTCTTGGGTGAGTCCAAGATCAGAATCTTTGGGTGAGTCCAGGGCCAGAATTCTTGGGTGAGTCCAAGATCAGAATCTTTGGGTGAGTCCAGGGCCAGAATTCTTGGGTGAGTCCAAGATCAGAATCTTTGGGTGAGTCCAGGGCCAGAATTCTTGGGTGAGTCCAAGATCAGAATCCTTGGGTGAGTCCAAGATCAGAATCCTTGGGTGAGTCTAGGACCAGAATCCTTGGGTGAGTCCAGGACCAGAATTCTTGGGTGAGTCCTGGACCAGAATCTTTGGACGAGTCTAGGACCAGAATGTCATGAGTTGACTCTGCATTTACAGAGGTCTCTTTGGCTGGTGGAGTGCCCATTTTCTGCTCCTGCTTTTCCTTAAGAGCCAACCATCCTACATGTAGTTACCCTAGATGAGTTCTCTAGCGGCAACACTTGCAGATAAATGGACAAAGAAAATACTACACAGATAAGTCTCGGCTCTGTCATGTCCCACGAAACTATTCGGGAAGTTAACCTGGATAACTAATGCTCGATAAAGTTAAATGTGTCAACTAAAAGGCACAATCCAATTATGCCACCCGGAATCAAAAGAAGAAGATACAGTTTTATATATTTCAAAATTTTTGTTTTTAATTGAAGGTAAATTTATTTATTTTTAAATTTATTAGTGACCTGTGTAAAACATTTAAAATGAATACTTTTTTAAGGGAATTCCTATGGGTTCATTAACCATTTTTTATTTTTACTATACCCAGAAGGTTAAAAATGGACGTTGCTATCTGTGTTTATTAATGTATTTCACAGGAAAACCATATTGTGGTAAACCCAGTGATATGTGGGCTCTTGGCGTTGTACTGTTCACAATGCTCTATGGCCAATTTCCCTTCTATGACAGCATGCCTCAGGAACTGTTCAGGAAAATCAAGTCAGCAGAGTTCACCATACCAAAGTAAGCTCTTATTCAGTATTTGATGGTTACCTGTCATTGTATTGGGGGGTTATTATGGTGTAGTGGCTAGAATCCACTTGCAGACAAGAAGGTCGTGGGTTCAAATCTGAACAGAGCTGGACTTTTTTTTTAAATGACCTTGGCTCCCAGGTCAACCCAACCTTAAATGGGTACCGGGTAGAGTCCTGGGAAGTAAAGGCGGCTGGCATGTTGACCACATCACCCACCGAGTGCCGAATGGTCTCTGAAAATATAGATCTAGCCCTATATGCCCAATATGCATGAAGGCTGGGGAAAGGGTCCTTTACTTTGTTAGTGTATCGTCATCATTGTATAGGAGATCCTTTGAAGAACGTCACTGTCATCACAGTCTGCCTAAAAGAAACTCAGTCTCTCCCCAGATCTCCTGCCTTGTGCACTTTTCTACTCAAGGTGTCGCTTATATCCTGTACCTGTCTTGGTGCTGGGCAGCGCCTGCCCCTCTTTCCTGGCATAATGTCTTCTGCTACTGCTCCTATGGCAAGATAAGATCCCAAATACTGTGGTTCTTGAAGGGGTAAACCTACCCACCATCCACACGATACTGAGGAATTGTCAGCTGCGTTGGGCTGGTCACCTAGCCGTATGCCAGAATATCGCCTCCCAGAGAGAGTATTTTATGGCGAGCTCCAGGGGGAGGGATGGGGAGGTCCCAGGGAGGACGGAGAAAGCTCTACAAGGACACGCTGAAGACTGCTCTCAATTCTTCTGGCATCAACACAGCGACGGGGGAGGCTGCTGCACAAGACCGTTCTGATGGCATACGTCCCTCAGACATGGTGCATCGGCCTACCAGGCAGCGGAGGTTGCACAGGCGGAGGGGTGTAGGCAGACTGAAAAGAATCTTGCTTCTAATTCCCACACTTGCTGAGGCTTCCATCTGTTGTCCACGCTGCTCAAGAGCTTTCCTGGCTCGTATTGAACTGGTCGGCCACCTTTGTGCTCATGATCATTTATCATTACTACTTTGAATGAAAGTGGTCTTCATCCCTCCTGATGGATGAACAACATTTTTATGAGTTTCTTAGGATAATATCATGGTAGTTTCCTGTTGTGTTCCACATCCACATTGTTTTAGACAATGCTAGTTAGTTGGTTAGTTAGTTGGGTTATCATCATTGCACTTCAGACATGTCCATAGGTGCTCAGATCCTCCCCTCAGTATGAACCCCAACGTCCGATGGCTAATCGTACCAGTTCTATGTTGATTAACAAGTCTTCTTGTGTGTCTGGTGTGCGCCTCTTTTTTTGCTATGCTGATCTTAATTCCCAAGTCTGTGATGGGGACGTGGATTCACTGCCCCCAAAGTCCTCTATCCTTCCAATTTCTCTGAGGGCATTAATAATATCAGCATGATCCATAGGCTGACCGTCGGTAGTGACAGCGGACAATGTCTTCAACCCAATGAGGGTTGGCTATATGGCACCTGCTGCCGTCTTTGGAAATATCACCTGGTAAGACCCCAGCCCCTTCCGTTGTGAGACTATCGTACAAATTTCTGAATCCTGGAAACTGATTTTTATAAAATAAACTGTGCTATGAAAATTGAACCCTGTTAATTAACTCTTTTGGAACTTGTCACAAACTTGCCTGCACAGCGAGACTTCCTTCCCCTGTCCCATTCATGCCGCGGCTGTGTTGCACGATCTGTCCTATGTTGTAGGGGTGTTATGAGATGGCTTCACTCAGGCATTCACTTGCCATATATAATATTTGTGGGAGGTTGTGTTGTCATGAATCTCTTTAAGGCGCCTGTGTACAAGTAAAAAGTACTGCAGGGGGAAGCACAGAAGGCGCGACTGTTCATGAGTATCAAAACTGGGTTGTTTTTGTATTTCTGGGTTCATCGTTGGTCGAAAAAGAGGCCACTGAAAAGGAACGTAGAAATACTAAAAACATCCTAGTTTTGATGCTTACGGACTGTCGGTCAAGTAGCACCATGTGGAAATAATCTTTCAAGTGAGCGCTGACAACATGGGAAAAGAGAGAACAGCTTAAACTGTTGAAAATAAGCAATATGTGACACTCCCTACAACATAGGACAGGCCATGGGGCCGGCTGCGGCCTGAATGGGAGGGAAAGGAACTCACGCCATGCAGGCAAGTTCGTGTTAAGTACCACTCTTTCAGTCCCAAGGAATACATTCATAGGTTCTTAACCTTGCCTGGAAGCCAAAAAAACACACACGATAAGCCAGCTTTACATCTTTCTTCACTATCCCTTAGGCCTCTGGTGTGGCCAATTGTGGCCATAACGACTGAAAGGGGTTTCTGGAATCTCTCCACTGTGAACCTCATCCGCATGGTGGTACTTTGTGTCACTGGGTGTTTATCGCTTGTGTGATGTCCTGGTGGGGTACATCAAGCAAGCAGTTCTTGTGTGGGTTCCGGGGCTCCAATTTGAGGAGGAGGGGGGTAGACCCACTGCCCCTCTAGCAGTACTACAGGGCTCTGTAGAGGAGAGGAGAAAAAGAGGTAGACCAAAAAAGACCTGACTACAAAATGTGGCTGAAAAGGCAGACCTCAAACATACAAGAATCAAGAGCATTGCATCTGGCCCACAGAGATGGAGGGGCCTGATAAGTCACCGAAAAGTGTTGACTTAGTGACATTCACTGTTATGATGAGGATGTTGAACAATTTAAAAAACACATTTGATTTCTTGCAGTGATGGTCGGGTCAGTGAAGACACTAAACAGTTGATTCATCAGCTGCTGATTTTGGATGCACAGACTCGGATGACAGCAGGTCAGGTGGTGGATGCTTTGGAGTCTATCATTGGGAAATGGTAATTGTAGTAACTTTTGGAGTTGTTCTCACGATAATGTCTCTCTTTTAGAACATACATTTCCTTTTTTTTTTAAAGTTCTTGACTGTTTCTTGCTTTGGAATGTATCATTAGGAAATGATAATTGTAAATACCTTTTGGAGTTAATCTTATGATAATGTCTGTGTCTTTTAGAATCATTCTTTTGAGTTTTTTAGAATCACTTAGGAAAATGATAATTGTAATACCTCTTGGAGCTAATTTTATGATAATGTCTGTGTCTTTTAGAATCATTCTTTTACTTTTAGAATCATTTAGAGAAGAATTAAAGAGTATAAAGAAGAAATGAACACACATTGTTAACTTTCTGGCTCAGAGGGAGCCCTTTTTTTTTGGCATCTACAGGTTTTTGATAACAACATCTGTCACCAGTGACCATTACTCCTGTATAGATCTGGTACTGGTTGTAACTGCATAGTGTGCGAATGTGGTGGCCATTATTATATTTACTTTAAACAAAAAATTGAGGTGTTTTTTATTGTAATGGTTTTCTTGTAACATCAGTTTGGGTGCATCATGCAAAACCCCTGTTTTCATGGTTACAGAGAAGGAAAATGGTTCAACTGCTCTCTGTTTGTATGTGGTGATAACTTTGCCTTACTGTTAAAAATAAAAAACACCACCTTTGCACAAACGAAGTGACTAAAAAAAAAAACGATCAGTCTTTGTAAATGTAAAGTCGGGAATTGTGACCCAGCATCATTGCACATGGTTATAAACCATAAGTGCTTTGCCACCAGTATGGACAGCAGATAAGAAACTGTCTGCCTGTGTCGCTGTCTGCACGCAACTCCATAACTACAACGTTCCTCCATTTACCCTCTGGTACCCATTATCTAGAGGCTAGGTGAACCCCGGGAACCGCTCGGTTTCGAACATCGGCCGTGGGTTGCAGCGAGTTGCAGCTGGATTTTAAAGCGAGTCTCCTATCAACTGCACCAGTGCTGCCCCCAGTGATAGTACTTTATGTGTGATTTTATGAGCATGATGTTAAAGTGACCATCATGCTGGCCTGACTATTAGGTGGCTGTAGGTTTTAACTACCATGAGACTGCACATTTCTCCTGCTGCTTCTTCTGGTTTCTTAGGCTAGATTTTCGACTAATTATAGGAATGTTTTTCCGTTAAATTTTTTTTTTAAAGAAATAGGTCAATTTTTAATTTTTTTTTTTTTTTTACAGGGCGAAAGGTTTCAAAATGGTTGTTAAAACTTATTCTTTCCATTTTGCTTGACCATAGAGTGTTAACACTTGCATCGTAATTACTAAAGTATGGGGTGAGCAACACAACACGTGGGAAACCAAAGGATAAAGTTACTGATGTCCAAGCAAAGTAATTATATTGGTCAACTAAAAAAAAAATAAACAGAACAGTAGGTTAAGTTGTCTTAGTACAATGTTGCTGGAGTTAAGTTGTGTATCAAAATGCTTCTCTGTCACTTCTGTGTCATCAGGTGACTTCTGAGGATATATCTGCTGCTTCTTTTGTGTGTTATATGGTTGCTTGGTTGGGATTTCTTTCTTGAGCAGTAAAAACCGATCTACTGACGTTTTGAGGCTGAGGATTTAGGTCTGCATAGCTAGAACACTTGCCATAAACTAAGGATTCTAACCCGTCTCTGACAGAGAGCCCATTTGGCAACACCTCGGATACAGAAGATTAAAGCAGCAAGTTTTCATGCAGAATTTGATGATGCTAGTTAGTTAGCCGAGATGAAACAGACCTGTATGGAAATAAGGAGAGAACAATGTGTTTGTGCAGTTATCTGATTACAGTATCCATGCAGTTAGGTTGTGTATGTGAATGCTTCTCTAACCCTCATGGATAATCACTTGTTTGTTAATAGTGGCTGTAAATTCCAGTAGAAAGTCCTAGCTGCTTGTGCATTTCTAGACTTTGGCTTTGTCCCAGGACCTGAGTTTGGTGTGTGCACCTGTTTGACAGATGTAGCATATTTGATTGTTGGTTCCTCGCCTTCACACAGATGCCCTCTGATTTTGAAAGAAAAAGCGCTAATTAGTTGCCTTTTGTGTCGTATATGACATGCTGTTGGGGGACAGTACGTCTGTTCCCACGCCCCCATTCCCCCCACAAACCTTTCCCCCTGTGGAATCCTTGAACCCACTCAGGGAAGATGTTTACTTTTGAAAACCTGATCTTAATTGATGGTTTTCTTTTATGTTATCTAATCTCTATATACAAGGTCCTACATTTAAGTAATGAGACTGATTTTATTACGGCCAAGACAAATGGGCCAAATGAGATGCAAAGCATGGAATACAAAGAGGCAACCTTCATCTATGATCTGGCAACTTTTCATTGCCGCCTGATAAGCAGACGACAAACAAGTGGCCATTTTATTGACCTAGTTAGATGTGCATTGTCACGAAATCAGCATGGAGCAAAAAGCTGAGTCTGATCTTACTATCCAGAGACTAGAGGGTAATTACTAGAAGCCCTTGTGAAAATTCTCATCCTTCATTAGGGCCTGAACCTGGGACTTCCAGCACTTGAGACGGACGCCATACCTCGAGACCACTCAACCTCCGCGGTTCTGTATGCACCTGTGCAGTGTTAAGAAGAGTCAAATATAATTATATTTACTAAACATTATCATGGGGGGAAGATTTCTTGAAAAGCTGTGATAACATTATAAATCTCCTTTAGCATATAGTAGTTGCATAGCAACACGGTCATGTGATGAGGCACCATATAAATGTGTTTTGGTGTGGAAGGGGGGGAGGGGGCAAAGAAATGTGGTCATTGAGTTCTTGTTTACTGATTATTCCCCTCCATATATTTCTAAAAAATGTTTCTAAATGTATATAAATACAGTTGTTAAGCATTTATCGGTGACCTGTATCTTCTTCTTGGCACTCATCAGTTCTTAATTCCGGTGGAGAGTTCTGGGTTCTCATCCACCTCCAGACTTAGTCCTGTTCCAGTTTCTGAGTTGTCTGCACATCCATTTGACAGATCTGGTGTTTTTATTTGCAAACTCTTGGTTTCTTGCCTTTTAGGCAGAAATGATACACTTCGAAGGATGCACCCCCCCCCCCCCCCTCCTCCAGTAGTCAACTCATACGACATGCTTAACTCCCAAGGAACGCACCATACGTTCATAGGTTACTACCTAGAGGCCCAATAAACGCCAGATGCGCCGATTTTAGATCTCTCTTGACTACCCCTTGGGCATCTGATGCTAAACCCCCTGGGACTTAGAGAGTTAATGGGGAGGCAGAGGGACTGTTCTTGTTTGCCCCACGATGGGCCCCCTGGAACTACACAGGGAAGTGACCTGTAGAAAATGGTTTTTCCTTTTTAGTTTTCTGTTTTCACAAGATTTCTGAGATGAAAGGGTTAATCTTAAGACCTTATATGACACTTAACAGCATCCCTGTATGGGTTCCGGGGCCCCATTGTGGGGAAAACAAGAATGGACCCACTGCTTTCCCACCAAGCATGTTGTTGGAGTTGACTAATTGCAGGCTTCCTTTGAAGTCGGAGTGCATCTGCCTGAGAGGCATGGGACCAGCAGTCTGCATTCAAGTAAGTCAGATCTGTCAAACAGATGTGCACACAATATTCAGGTTCTGGAACGAGGCTAACGTCCAGAGATGGATGCAGAACCAGAACTTTCTGCCAGTTTTTACAGCCAGTGAACGCGAAGAAGAAGAAGAAGAAGAAGAAGAAGAAGAAGACTTAACAACATAGCCTATTTATCTGTTTATCTCCCAACTCGTTCATTACCAAGAATCTCATCATGAATGTGTTAGATTCTGCTTATGTTGTATATTATTCTTAACCCCTCATGTCACATCCAGTTTTTAACTAACCCCTTCTGTCATAGAACTGTTATTTCAAGTCATTCTAACCAAAGCATTTATTACTTAAAGTAAAAACGGTATCGGAGAGAATGGGCTAAATTTAATTATATCTGTGCCTGGTGGTGAAAGAGTTACTGTACTGTTTTATTTTGTGTTATAGTCCATTCCTGTATGTTGCTAGTTGTTGGTTATGTAAATATACTTCTGTCTGTTGTGTCAATTATCTTTTTTCTCTGTCCTCATCTGTCTTTCATCTCCAACCAGTTTTTCCCTTATCCATGTCCAAAGAATATTCATTGTCTGGAGTCCTAATGAATCAGTGCTGCACCATATAAGATTCTCAATGTTTCTTAGCCTCTCTCGCTCAAGCCTCCTCATCATCACATGTACCCTGTTCTGCCTAGTAATCCAGTGAAGGTTTGGTGTTTCAACCTCTATCTGTAAATTGGATCAGACAAAAGACAAGATAATGGTGAAATATGTGCAGCTGCTGAGTTAAGTTCATGGTGCGACACTGTGAGCTGTGGATTCCATGGAGAATGCTGATTGTCTGTGACCCTTATGTTGTCGACTGCATATTCAGAAAATTACCTGGCTAGTTGCCACAGAATTGGTGGTGTGCCTTATGCAGTCATGCATGTGCAACTTCTGGTTTGTCACGACTTCTGCCTCTGTTAACTATGAATTGCAATGCTAGTGACAGGCTGTTGGTGTTTCACCTTGGGCGGCTGCCTTGAGCATTTGGTGTATGTGTGAGCTGTTGGGTTTTGCAGGGACTGCTGTCCTTTTCAATTTTCATATGGGTCAGAGATGGACATTCTGTGTAGTTTTTCACTGTTTTAGAAATGGAGCATTTATGAAGTGATGAAACTGGAACCCCGATTGACAGCCTGCTTTGTCTGTTTCTACTAAAAATTATAGTTATTTTCTTTGTCTTCTTCTTCTTCTTCGGGTTCACCAGCTGTAAACTTTGGCAGAAAGTTCTGGTTGTTCATCCACTTCTGACTGCAGTCCTGTTCCAGAACCTGATTGTTGCGTTTTACAGATCTGACTCATTTGTATGCAGACTGTTGGTTCCTTGCATCTCAGGCAGATGCACTCCGACTTTGAAGGAAGCTCCCAGTTAGTCGACTC